CAATTTTTATTTTTCTTTTGCAATTTTTCTAATGTTTTTAATTTAATTGGTTTCTCTTTCTGTGTTGTGAAAAAAAAAAGTTTCTCAAACCCTATAATGAAATCCGGAAGTTGTGGTATATCTTTAATTCTTTATATTTTTCTTTTGACGGTAATTGAGCATTAATTTATTGAAACCCAACTTTATTTACCTTTTTAACCCACAAAGGTTTAATAATTTTTTAAATGTACGAATGCACACATCTACTAATTTTTTTAGGAGATTTTTGTTTATGATCTATTTTTAATGGGTTGGACTTGATAGGAAATATGATGCGATTTAAATTTAAATTTATGCTAATATTCTTTGGAGTTTGATTTGGGTGTATTAGTCTGTATTTGGATTTGAAATTATGCAATTTTTTTGGGGCCTGGGGGATGGAAGGGGGATTATGAAAATAGGTTAAGGGACATGTTGTGCATACCATTCATTACTTCAAGTTTAGGCCTTGGTTTTGCTGAGGAAACCATGAGCCACCAGTTTTTGTTCTCCTTGCTTACATGAGAGCAGTTGACTTTATGTTACCTGTTTGGTTTTGGTTTTGATTTGTTTTTTAGTGTCTCTGCATGATTGTTTGGACGGGTTGATATTGAAATGAGAATGAATTTTGAAGATAGAATTGAATCGTGATTGTGAACTATAATGATCGTTATGTATGATTGTGAGCTGTGAATTTTTTGGATCTTTGGTTGGACCTGCCTGTACAACATGTGTCTGTGGCCTTTGTTATTATGAACTGTTATTTTGGTTTGGATTGTGCAGTGACTAAAATATAATGTTGTCTTTGAGTTAGTTAGATTAATTTATTCTTTGAAATTGGTTATGTAATGGTTTGTGCTGGACAATAATACGTACAATGAGATATATAAGTTCTGTACACAGGTTGAGATTTTAGGCTCCTATCTGTAGAAGAAATTTTGCTGAAATATTTTGAAAAAATAACGAGATAGATTGATTTTAATTTCTTCAATTAAAGTAAATAAATGAAAATTTATTTTTAATGGATGGATTTTTTTAAGTTGCAAAGTGCCTTTAGGCACGGCTTATTATTAGTTTTATATATAAACGAGCTTAATTTTGCTAATTTGAGTAGAATCCTATCCGAGCCATCTTGTCTCACTTTGTTTTTTTTTTTTCCTTGCAAAGCAACGCAGTGCAAGCTATAAATAGTCAAATGGCTTAAAATGGGCAGTAACCAACAAAGTCTACAAGTCAAGCTTTTCTTTTTCAGCAATGGCTTCCATTCCTCAATACTTCTCCAATGAGTTCTATGCTTTCCCTAATCCAATGCCCGCGGAAACAACAGGGGAGGTATTGCAATGTGGAGTGGAGAATGCTTACCGCCCTTTTCCGATAATGGGATACTTAATGTGGTGCCACCAAAACCTCATGACATCGTTCCATCCATTTCAATGTCATCGTTCCCTGAGCGTCTCGGAATTTCTGATATGGTTGTACCGTCATTGACGGAGCGTAATGTCAATATGGGTTCATATGGCATCACGGGACCTCATGGTTTTGAGTGTAGATACCAACACGAGGTATGTGATCAACTGTTGTTTCTTTTTCAGTGAGGTTACATGTTCATGGCACTGTGTGTTTCCTTTCATCGTAGTCAAGACAAATACTAAGACATGCATGATACAGATTTACATTAGTGCAATGCTACATAGGCTTAAAATATTAATTTAATTTGTTGACTTAATGGACTGTAGAAAAAAAAAAAAAAAAAATCTTTCAAATAACTGAATTGCATTCAAAGAGAAATGTAAAAGTCAAATTCAAATTGAAGTTTTTAAATTGTAATGAAATTTAACTGTTGAAGACCTAATTAATTTTGTTATCAAAACTGGACGAGTTTCAACGATTATGGTTCGATTATTCTTTTCAATTTGATGGTTGTCTTAATTGTGAAGAAATCTTGACTCCATCCCTGGAATGCAAATGGGCCTAGGGAGCATTAGCATTTTTAAATTCTTAGATTGAATAAATATGTCCGGCTATAAACTGTAAACCCCAACACTCTTTATCTTTATATAGCAAGTAATTATTTTGAAATGCTAATATAGGGGATGAGGTATGCATGAACCCTATAGATTTCAATAGTATGAATAAATACTAGGGACGCAAATTAATGGTGAAATTTAATTTTTGGAGGTGTTTAAGGTTGAAAAGGATAACTAAGTAAAAATATAAATTTTTTAGGTCAAAATAATATTATCATTGAATCTGGGAGATCCAAAAAACTTGGAATAGCCTTTTAGCACATATAGCGGTTCAGAGGAATAAAATAGTAATTTTCGTGTTTCGAGTGTAAATTTATTTTAGTTTTGGAAATTGTGGTGGGAATAATTATTCTTTGGAATGGTTATTTATGGTGGGATTGGCTTTACTCTTGCACTTAATTATTGTTAATGTATAAATTTGAGACTTTTGAAAATGTCATGTTTTCTTTCAAAATTTACGTATGCTATTTGTGAAATGAAACCGACCATTTTCTACGTTTTTCAAACCTTGTTAGAGTGTGAGGATTTTTCTACAGTGCTTAGTGCTCACCCCCTACTAATAATTTTTTTTTTTTAGATTTCATGCTAGAGGAAGATCTCGGCGTTGATGAGGCGGAAAATTGGGAGGTTCCATCTGAGGGGAACCTAGATCCCGAGGTGCACATCTAGAGATATTGTTTATTTTTGTGCTAGACTAGGAAATTTATTTACAATCATGTATAGTCTAGTATTTTGTTTATTCTGCTTCTAAGTTTGAGTGTAATTCTTTTGGAATGTAAATGTCATAATTTGGCCTATTCTTTTGGGATGATATGGTGGATATTACATGTGATGAATGAAATTTTATTATTTGATGGGTAAATGGACCCAGTGTGGTCAATATTTATTCATATATGGACCCGGTGCGGTCAATGTAGTATAATTGCACAGGTTTGTTTTTGGTAGAGTTTCCCGTACAAAGGAGATTCTGCCCGAATTTTGTTACATTAAGGACCCCCGATTTTTGGGGTGTTACATAAACAAATCCTGTAGGATGAAAAATGATGAAACAGTTAGTCTTTATGAAAGAAGTTTATCAGTGGAAGGCAATTGGCTTAGGGATATGCATAACAGAAGAGAGATTTTTGCAATATAAAAGAAAAGATCAAATATGTTAAGTATTTGTTTTTTTTCTCCCTTCTTCTTGGCATCCCATAATGCATAGCGGGGGTCTGGAGAAGTAAGTGGTTAATATATTAAACCAATACCAAATTTTTATCCTTTGATACGTGGATCGACAAAAGAGAATAGATTTATTATAGGAATTTTAAATTAGTTATGGTTTCCAATGTACGACAAGCGCCACCATTGAAGGATCAGTGAAGAAAAAATCAGGTAACAGTAACACAAACACATCATAATTTGGTTTGTTATGCAGCTATGAGTTTTGACTTAGATCCATGCCAAGTACTCCATCTAAGTTTCAAAATAACGATCTCATACCTAAAAAGGAAGTTCAAGTCGAGCATGCATCAGTGATGGCATATGAAGCACATATACATAATACAGGCATGAGCAGATATGAACTGATCTTCATTCAATTTAACCTATTTATAGTGCAATAGATGATATAATATGTACTAAACAATCTAAATTAATAACAACATTAACTCCATAATTTAGGCTTGTCACTTGACAGGTCATCCAAAATACCAAATAAATACCAATCCATCTAAATTGGTCTCTTGCTTTGACTTCCTAAATATGCCCGATCTTAAAGAAGTTTGTAGCGACATGTTTTAAGAGTGGCTTGTGCAATAAAATATTGACTAGTTCACCCATTTAGAGGTAAAGATCATCGACGCCATACAACGCAAGCAAGTTCTGGTGTACTTGCCCTTGAATGCCCATTTGCATTGTAACAATGGGGTCTAAAATTACCCCACGAATTGGGCACCCCATAAGGTATGCCGCAAAGATATATAAGAGAATATCAATAGGACACAGGTCAGAATAAGGGTTATATGCCCTTGAGCTGAGTTGCAAGTGTATAATCGATGCTTGACAAAATGGATGTTTCTAAATTTCTTCTGTAAACGAAAGAAACAGTGAGAAAGTGCAAACTGTCCAGATCTCCTGTTTGAAAACCCGAGAGTGGTCCCTAACTTGTGATCATAGAATATCAATTTGTAGACCTATTATTACAATATTATTCATGGGTATAGAAATTAAAGATCTAATTTTGCCAATTTATAATTCTATTGGTAAAGAAAGTTGCAGATATTTAAAGAAACAGTGCTCACCAATAAGATGGCATGCTTCATGCACAAGAATTTGATGTTTATATGGAGGCCAGTAACTTGAGATTTGAGCCAAACATGATCCACCAAGGAATATTGAGTCTATCATGGCTAATCCCAATGTGGCTGCTAGGTTTTGCCTGATATCTATTCCTTGATTAAGCAAAAATGTAAAACTCGGGAAAATTTTAAAAAAAAAAAAATTTGAAAAAAGAGCAAAATGGTAATTTGTCATTATAATGCGGGTTTAAAATCTATATTTTTCTAGAGCTCAGATGATCCAACAAAGCTCAACGTTGGATTTGTATCGCAAAATCGAGCTATCTTGTTAATTTTCGTCGAATTTTGACATAGTCAAATTTTACACGTTTTACGAGACAATTGAGTGACGAATAACCTTTCAAAGGTACCCAAAAACGAAATTTATAAAATTTTCATATAATTGAATAAAATTTTTAAAAAATAAATTGAACTTAATCGGAGGTATAATAAATCGTTTCGAGACGAAAAACGGATTCGGAAGTCGGAATTATGCGGTGCAATTTGGACCACACATTAAGGGAGTATAAATAGAGGCAAATAACTAAAAAATCAGATATTTTCTCACTCATTTTGAGTCTTGTTTGGTTGACCATAGAAAGGAAAGAAAAGAGAAGAAAAACTTCAAGTTCTTCAAGCTTTCTACCTCGGATCCACTTGGACCAAGAGCTGAAGTTCATCTCCTCGACGAGGGCTACGCATACGTACCAAAAAGAGTGGGTTTCACCATGAATCCAAGAGGAGACTTTGGAAAAAATCAAAGAACTTTGAGGTAGGGTTCTTCTTACCTTGGTTTTATTCCTCTTATTTGGGGCTGTTTTAGGGGCCGAAACTATGGACTGTTTTGGGGATGAAATGAAAGACCATTTTTGGGTTAAAATATGGATTGCTATGTGGTTGTATTTTGGACTGAATTTGGGACTGTTTTATAGCTGAAATATGGACTGTTATATGGCGTGATATCAAGTTACTCGGTATCCAAGGGTATTCCGCGGGTTGATGGGTAATCAACGGACCCCTGAATTTTGGAGTATCATAGATTGGTATCAGAGCATAAGTATACGATTTACCTAGGGCTTGATGGGCATGAGTTTAGACCATTGCATTCATTGTGCATTTCATGTTATGTGCTATGTGTTATGTGAATTGTATACATGGTAAAAGGCATATGGAAAAGAGAAACACTAGGATTAGAAAACATAACCTTGGGTTCGGAAAAAGAAATTAACGGTATAGTTCTATGTGTAAATGTCTACTAGTAGGTGGCACATGTACTACTAGTGAAACAAGGAGGAAAATCTTCAAGTTTAAATATTTGATCCCTAACTTGGGATATTAAGTAATTGATCTATTGCTATCTTATGTGTGTGTAGTGTGTAGATGGCAACTAAATAATCTATTGCTATCTTATGTGTGTGTAGATGGCAACTAGAGGAAGTGGATGTCGGGGTGGACGGAACAACCAACCACTACCACCGACCTTTGACCAACAAGCCTTCATGGAGGCTATTGGTGCGGCGGCGGCTACCATTGCACAAGCTAGTGCTACGGCCGCTACTATTACACAGACAGGTGCAAGTGGGAGTCAAGGAGGTTCAAGTCACCTCTAGAAATTCAAGGCACACAATCCTCCGATCTTTTTGGGAGGGGCGGATCCTATGGTGGCTGATCATTGGTTCCAACAAATGGACAAGATCTTGAGGGCTATGAAGATTACCACCGATGCCACGAAGATAACGCTAGGTACTTTTCAGCTAAAGGGAGAATCCCAGGTGTGGTGGGATTGGGTCAAGGACTCAAGGAATTTGGAGACCATGACTTGGGCAGAGTTCAAGGAGCTCTTTATGAGCAAATATTTCCCCGCACCTGCTAGACATGCAAAGGCCTGGGAGTTCCTAGACCTCAAACAATGAACGATGTCAGTGATGGAATACGTGGCTAAGTTCACGGAATTTGCACGTTTCGCTGATGATTATGTGGCCAAAGTGAGGAAGTTCGAAGATGGCTTGAAGTTGTCCATTCGAGGCAAGATTGTGGGTCTTCTTCTACAAGACTTGGACTTAATGGTCGCCACAGTAATGGCCATTGAAAGAGAGGTGGATGATGCACGGAACATCCGGGAGGCGGGTGTGAAAGATAAGAAGAAGGAAGGTCAATCCTCTTCTTCTAGTGTAGGGAAGAAAGCAGAAGACTTCTGCTCCGCAGGGGCATCAAGGG